TCTGTCACCCAGGCTACAGTGCAGTGTCATCATCATAGCTCACCGCAGCCTCGAACTCCTGGACTCAAGCAGGAGTCCCTCCGAGAGTGCTGGGTTTACAGGTGTGAGCCACTGCACCAGGCCCTGCTGTTACATTTTTAATGCCTTTCTGGGCCTGATCATTTAAAGGCCCTTACGTTCCTCAGATAAAAGACTTTTCTTTCTCATCATTTAATAGATTATGTGTCCTTGGCTTGCTTTTTTCCAAACTGATCTTGTAAAAACGTGACTCAGACTCCATCCCCAAACCTGTCCAAACCGGTCACCCTCCTTAACTCTTGTTTCTGTGGCTGCTGTAGGTAGTCCCTGCTCCCCACCTCCTGACACCTTCCACACCAGCCCCCCATCTTGGGCTTTTGTCACACCACAGGGACCCATCTTGGTGCCCACCACTGTGCCCCAAGTTGTGCTGGTCAGAAGTAATGTTTTTTTTTTCTTTCTTTTTTAATATTATTTATTCGGTTTAAATTTTATTTTTATTTAAAAAAAATTTGCATGGGCCAGGAATTGAACGCAGGCCTCCCGCATGGCAGGCAAGAATTCTACCACTGAACCACCCATGTCAGAAGAAATGTTTAACCCTGAGACCTCACTCACCCTCTATGAGCATGCGTGGTTGTCCCCTAACATCTGCTTTGATGAGTGCTCCTGGGAGGAAGGGTGGGGGCGGGGTATGCAACATCAATAGAGACCAGGGAGTGGGGGAGGGAGCTAACTGAATCAAGGTGTCAGGGGCCTGGTGCAGTGGCTCACACTTGTAATCCCAGCACTTTGGGAGGCTGAGGCAGGAGGATCACTTGAGTGAGGCCAGATGTTTAAGACCAGCCCGGACAAATCCCAGAATGCTGGGATTACAGGCGTGAGCTGCCAGGCCCGATCCAAGCACATTGATTTTAAAATGGGCAGAACTGGCTGGACACAGTGGAAGGCGCCTGTAGTCCCAGCTAATGGGGAAGCTGAGTCGGGAGGATCGCTTGGGCCCAGGAGTCCGGACCAGCCTGGGCGACATGGGGAGATGTCTCAAATTAAAAGAAAAAGAAAACTCAAGCAAGATGAGATGGAGGTAACGCTGGGGGCAGGGTGGGGCATTTTACACGTGTTAAAGGAACTTGAACACAATGGGGGAGGGAGGCACGTGGTGTTTGGGGAAGGAAGAGCCCTCCAGTCAGGTGAAACAGCAAGTGCCAAGGTCCTGAGGTCAGAGTGTGTCTGAGACATTCAAGGAAGGAGGAGGAGGTCTGCGGAGCCAGGATTGGGGAGAGAAAGGGGAGAGGGGAGGGGGAAAGGGAAGAGGTGGGGTAAGCGGTGGAGGGGAGGGCAGGACCCAGAGGAATGGTCAAAGGAGGAACTCAAGCATGGGACTAATGTCTGAGATTGACTATTGGTGTTGGGAAAACAGGCAGGGGTGGAGGTGGCGGGAGACTTTGAGTCAAATTCTGATCCGCCCCACAGAAAATCAGCAGGAGAAAGCTCTCTTGGGTGAATGGAGAGAGAAGAGTTTATTCAAAACCCTGGAGGAGCACGCGCCTATAGTCCCAGCTACTCAGGAGGCTGAGGAGGGAGGATCGCTTGAGCCCAGGAGTTGGAGGTCGCAGTGAGCTGTGATCCAGCTGTAATCTCACCACTGCACTCCAGCCCGGGCGACCCAGTGAGACCCTGTCTCTAAAAACAAGAACCCTGCCCTGGAGGAGGACACCAGAGATACAGCAGCCAAAAATCCCCAAGTTTTCATTACACACCTTGCACAAGATCTGGTTTATTTATTTTAATCCTGTGCACATCCTTTTGTGCTTCCTGGATTAAGAAAAATATAGAAAAGTGCTAACACAAATTAAAAAGTTATCACATAGAACCACTTGTATCCCATTTTTCCGAAGACACACATAGGCGTAGAAAAAGGAATGGATACTTTCTCCAGGCGGGGGTTTTACTGGCTATAGTAACCTTTTTCTTTGTACATTTCAGCACTTTCCAGCTTTTCTATGCAGACCATATAGCACAATAAGGTAATAAATACTATGATTTTGTGTGATCTCAAAGTACAGGAAACATAGAAGCTAATCCCTAAAACACCCCTTTACCCACCACATGAAGGAGCAAATGTTAATACTTGGTCGTAATTGCTTCAGATATTTATTTTTCCTTTTTTTTTTGTGAAAGAAAACAGGAGGGATATAGTTAACGCCCCCTTCCCAACCCCCTTTATCTTCTAGCCCCAACGCCTCTTCCCTCTCTTCCTCCCCAGAAGAGTAACCACTCTGAATTTGCAGTGACTTTGTTCCCTGTGTTAATATTGTTTTGTTTTTTACCGGCAGGATCAACCAGGTTTTTTGTTTTTCTGTTTTTTTTTTTTAAACGATGGGCTGTCACCGTGTTCCCCAGGCTAGTCTCGAACTCCCGGGCTCAAGCGATCCCCCTGCCTCAGCCTCCGCACTGGGCTGTGTTTACATTTTGACTACAGATATTTAAGGAGGAAGTGTACATTTATTCTACTGGCAAAATTACTAACTAGGCTTTTTAGGAGAAAATCCAAACAGGACATAAAGTATAAAACGGAAGGGGAGACATCCATCCCTCACAGCCCCAGCAACCCCCACTACTACCACCAGAAAAGAAAGGAATTAACAGCTAGAATATAAATTCCTTTGGCAGTTCAAGCCCAGCAGGGTAGATTTTTTTGTTTGTTGTTCATTTGTTTTTGAGATAGAGTCTTGCTCTGTGACCCCCCGGGTAGAGTGCAGTGGCAGCATCATAGCTCACTGCAACCTCCAACTCCTGCACTCACGCTGTCCTCCTGCCTCAGCCTCCCCAGTAGCTGGGACTACAGGTGTGTGCCACCATGCCTGGCAAATTTTTCTATTTTTAGTAGAGACAGGGTCTTGCTCTTGCTCAGGATGGTCTCGAACTCCTGAGCTCAAACGATCCTCCCACCTCTGCCTCCCAGAGTGCTAGGATTACAGGTGTGAGCCACCACACAGGGCCAAAGGACAGGTTTTTGTGTCTTGTTCACCGTTGTGTCACTCAGTATTTGGCATACAGTAGGTGCTCAATAAATGTTGGATAGTTTTTTTGTGGGGGTTTTGTTTGTTTTTTGAGAAAGGGTCTTGCTCTGTTACCCGGGCTGGAGTACAGTGGCATCCTCATAGCTCATTGCAGCCTCCAATTCCTGGGCTGAAGCGATTCTCCTGCCTCGGCCTCCCATAAGTGCTAGGATTACAGGGGTGAGCCACCTCGTCCGGCCTATTATTTGAAATTCTTTGCAAGGAAAATTTGACTCTTCTCCCAATCACACCCATTTTAAAGACCAGGAAAGTGAGGTTGAAAATGACAGACCATCTTACAAGAGCCTGGCACAGCCCATGGCTGAGGCTCCACCCAGAGCTGTGGGGCCCCTAAGTGTCTCAGGCAGGTGGTGGCTCCCTGCTGGCCTCGGGGGAACAGGGGGATGAAATCGGGTCGTCCCCAGGCTGGAGCTGCAGCCCCAGTCCGAGGGTCTGAGCGGCCCTCTGGGGTCCATCGGCCCATTTTGCAGAGCCGGAGCCTGCGCCCGGGAGGCGTGGCTGTGCTGGGCGGTAGCGCAGGGTTCCGGGGAGGGGAGGCCCGGCGCCGGGCCCGCGGGCAGGACGGGCGGGCCGCCTCCCTTAAAGCCGGGGCCGCCCTGCTCGCCGGCGCCCGTGGATCTGCAGCCGGGCTCCGGCCACCGGCCACGGAGTCCGCCCCGCCGACGGCAGGTGAGACCCGCCCAGCCCTCGGCGGCGCTGCGTCCCCGGGGGAGGCGTCCCCACCTTCCCTCATCACCCACTTCCTTCCTGGTTGTCGCTGCTGTCGGGGCTTGGTGGGGGGACAAACAGCAAGCCCGAGCGCTGTGTGACTCGCGGCGCGTCACCGCCCCTCTCTGAGCCCTTATCCTCAGTGTCGAATGAGGGCTCCCCCGTTTGCGCTGGCAGGGACTGGAGTGACTCGTCCCGGGTGTGCACGGGACGTGTCGCAGCGTCGCCCAGCCCAGGGGAGGCAGGCGGGGAGATGAGAAGCAGGTCAGACTGGCTGCAGGTGCAGGGGCCACCCCTGCCAGCTGTGGCCCCCTCCCCTGGGAGGCTGCCGTCCCATGGAGGGGGTGGGGGGCCTGCTGGCGGCTACTGAGGGTGTGAGGGTCAAAAGGCGTGGTCACATGGCTTGTCACCAGCTGCCTCCTGCCTGGGTTCCTCCTGCGTGGGAATTGGGGGTGGAGGAAGGGGACTTCCTGGAAAAGTCAGGCTGCTGCTGTTTGTGTTTATGTGGGTTGTGGGGGAGGGAAGCAGAGGGAAGACCAGGACACACAGGCAGTCCCACACTCAGATGTTGTCAAGTACACATCACACACAAGACACACAACTCACCTTAAAGACACAACACAGATACAAGCACATGGGAACTCAGTCAATTACAGCCGGGAAGCCCCATCCAGAGATTCCCACCCAGTGCCACATGAGAGCTCGGGCAGGAGTCACAGACAGGCCACACAGGACTGCAGGGACACAGGACTCCCAGGCAGAAGAGCAGAGACCCAAGCAGGCGCGCTCAGCTGCACACAGGAAACAGACACACCCAGATGCACGCAGACAAACACGTAGTCAGAGAATGAGGACACACGAGAGGTGCCTTGGGCACACAACGCAGCAGCCACGGCCTTGCACGCGCACACACACAAAGACACACAGACGTGCGTAGACATGTGGGACATCTCAGGCCCACAACACAGACAAGGCCCTGCAGGTAGGTAGACCCAGAGGCTGTGTGGGCCAGCGCTGCTGCACGCGTGTGCCCAGACCTCTGCCCTGATCCCGTGTCCAGAGCTGGGGAAGTCCACAGCTCACATGACCCAAAGGGGAGGGCTCCTGGGACAGTCCTTGGAGAAACTGCATCATCCTCCCTGATGATCTGCTTCCTCGCCAGGAAATAAAGGCTCAGTGGCAGCCAGTTCTGCCGTGGAGCCCACTTGCCTCTTGGAGTCCCCACTGACTGGCTTGTGCGTTCCCGGGGTGAGTGCTGGGCAGGTCTGCGTGAGGGACCGTGGAGTGGGCCTGCAGGGCCACCCTTCCTGGCCCCTCCGTGGAACCCGCCCACCCAGAGATTCCCCCAGCCAGCTCGCCCAGCTGTGTTCTGGGAACTAGGGCACCAAGGTCTTCCCCTCTCCGAGAGCAGAGCAGGTGGGGTATCTCAAGGGCTCGCTGTCCTTGTCACAGCCCGGGGCACGCAACACTCGTCTCTCCCCTCCCAGATGGACACGCGGCCGGCGCTGCTCGTCCTGCAAGCCTTGCTGCTACTCCCCGTGGCTGACAGTGCCGCCCCTGCCCTGCGCTTTGTGGCCGTGGGTGACTGGGGAGGTGTCCCCAACGCCCCGTTCCACACGGCCCGGGAAATGGCCAATGCCAAGGAGATCGCCAGGACCGTGCAGATCCTGGGAGCAGACTTCATCCTGTCCCTGGGGGACAACTTTTACTTCACTGGCGTGCAGGATGCCAATGACAAGAGGTTCCAGGTCTGTGCCCAACAGAGTGGGGACAGAGGGGGCAGTGAGGGGAAGCCACTTGAGCTGGTGACCTTCCTCTGGAGAGGGAAGAGGGGAGCTGATGGGGCACCTTGGGGCACTGGGAATGCTCCCTTCTTCCCGGCCCCTGAGTTGGTGAGAGCATCAGGGTAGACGTTGATCCCAGGGGATGGGGGGCACCTCTTCTGTCTGCTGCAGGAGACTTTTGAGGACGTGTTCTCTGACCGCTCTCTTCGCAACGTGCCGTGGTACGTGCTGGCCGGAAACCACGACCACCTGGGCAACGTCTCGGCACAGATCGCCTACTCCAAGATCTCCAAGCGCTGGTGAGCCACCCCCAGCTCCACGTGCTCCCCAGCCCCACTCTCAGTGCCACAAAACGACCCTGTGGCTTGAGCTGACCAGGGAGCTTTCGTGCCCAAGATGTGCACCCACGACCTCTATCCCCCTCCGCAGGAACTTCCCCAGTCCCTTTTACCGCCTGCGCTTCAAGATCCCACGCACCAATGTGTCTGTGGCCATCTTCATGCTGGACACGGTGACGATATGTGGCAACTCGGATGACTTCCTCAGCCGGCAGCCTGAGAGGCCCCGAGACCTGGATCTGGCCCGCACGCAGCTGTCCTGGCTCAAGAAACAGCTGGCGGCGGCCAAGGAGGACTACGTGCTGGTGGCTGGCCACTACCCCGTGTGGTCCATAGCCGAACACGGGCCCACCCGCTGCCTGGTCAAGCAACTTCGGCCACTGCTCGCCACCTACGGGGTCACTGCCTACCTGTGTGGCCATGATCACAACCTGCAGGTGAGGGCCCTGGGACTGGGGTGGGAAGGCAGGGGAGGGGTCCCCATCCCAACCAATGTCCACAAGGCTGGGGTCCTCCTGCTGTTTGGGGGCCTCTGGTGGTCTTCTGAATGTCCATACTCTCTGTCGCCCCGGGTAGAGTGCAGTGGCATCATTGTAGCTCACTGCAACCTTGAGTTCCTGGACTCAAGTGATCCTCCTGCCTCAGCCTCCTGTGTAGCTGGGACTACGGCTAGCTGCACACCACCACACTTGGCTAATTTTTCTATTTTTAGTAGTGATGGGGTCTTGCTCTTGCTCAGGCTGGTCTCGAACTCCTGACCTCAAGCTATCCTCCTGCCTCGGCCTCCCAAAGTGCTAGAATTACAGGCGTGAGCCACTGTGCCTGGCCTCTTCTTCAAATTCCATCTCTCTAACCGGAGACTTTTGCAACGTCCCCCAAAAGACAGAAAACTGTCTACTGGTTGCTAAGTGTTCTACCTGTGAAATATGATTAACCTATTCCTACAGGTTGGGAAACCGAGGCCAGGAGGGGTTATGTACCTCAAGGTGGCCCTGTGGTCAGGGACAGACCTGGGTCTGGACCCAAGGAGGGTATGGGCGGAGCCCCTGATCAACCGTCATTCAAGGCCGGGGGCTCCACCGACCCTGTGTCCTCTGTCCTCAGTACCTGCAGGATGAGAACGGTGTGGGCTATGTGCTGAGCGGGGCTGGGAACTTCATGGACCCCTCGAAGCGGCACCAGCGCAAGGTCCCCAACGGCTACCTGCGCTTCCACTATGGGGCTGAGGACTCGCTGGGGGGCTTTGCCTACGTGGAGATGAGCCCTAAAGAGATGAGCGTCACTTACATCGAGGCCTCGGGCAAGTCCCTGTTCAAGACCAGCCTGCCGAGACGACCCAGGCCCTGAACCCCCACGAGTGCCCGGCTCTGAGGCCTGAGGCAGAGGGGGCTCCCCGGTGCTGGGTGGGTGGGCCCCGCGGGGACCTTGGGGCAGGCTCTCCGGCTTGGGGCAGCAAAGCACTGTGGCGCCACGTGGACCCCTGTGGCACAGATGCCCACGTGTTTGAAAGAGGCATGGACATGTGTCCCAGTCGCAGTGTCACACCTGTGGCTACAGCTCGCCTCGGCTGAGTTTCAGGGACTGGGGGACAGGGAGGGAACACTGCCTCCTGAATCAAGCATCTTTCACTGATGTTCAATAAAAGAATAGTTGCCAAGGCTGAGCGAGTGCCATGGGCGTGTTGTATCCTCTGTGCGTCCGTCTCTCAGCCCCGTGCATAACCAACTGGCCCATCCACGGATGCTATTTTAAGTAAAAACCAAGCAGAAAGAAGGGTACAATCCAAAGCAAGTCTTCCTGGGGGACCAGATCTTCAGTGTTCCCAGTGTCCTCCTCCCCAGGGTCAACCATCACAAATCAGTTTCTTTCCTTCTACAGTTGATGCTTCCATAATAAAAACATTCCCTTTTCTTTTTTTTGAGACAGAGTCTGGCTCTGTTGCCCTGGCTAGAGTGCCGTGGCATCAGCCTAGCTCACAGCAACCTCAGACTCCTGGGCTCAAGCAACCCTCCTGCCTCAGCCTCCTGAGTAGCTGGGACTACAGGCATGTGCCGCCATGCTCGGCTAATTTTTTCTGTATATTTTTAGTTGTCCAGATCATTTCTTTCTATTTTTAGGAGAGACGGAGTCTCGCTCTTGCTCAGGCTGGTCTCGAACTCCTGAGCTCAAACAATCCGCCCGCCTCGGCCTCCCAGAGTGCTGGGATTACAGACGTGAGCCACCAGGCCCAGCCAACATTCCCTTTGTTAAAAAAAAAAAATGTTAGAGGTGGGGGGACAGGGAGGGTCTCTCTATGTTGCCTAGGCTGAAGGGCAGTGGCTGTTCACAGGACTGATCATAGCTCACTGCAGCCTTCAACTCCTGGGCTCCAGTGATCCTCCTGCCTCAGCCTCCCGAGCAGCTGGGACTACAGGTGTGCCACCACAAAAAACATTCCCATTTTGTACACCAAAGTGACAAAACATACACAGAGTTCTGCACCTGTTCCTTCTACTGAACCACAACTTTTCAACTGAACACTCGTGTTTGCTGATTTGAATATGGAACCAGTAATACTTCCACATTGTTCGAACATCTAAAGTTTGTAGAAAGATCTCTGATGCCCTCCCTGTGCCTGTTCATCCTACTCCTTCTGCCTCTCCTAGTAGGAAATAACTTTCTATATAAATGCCTTGGGTTTCCTGGTTTTTTTTCAGTATTTTTTGTAATATGAATGAAAGCAAATGGCAATTTTTTTTTCCCCTCCACTTTCCCATTGAACTGCAACTTGCTTTTTTTTTCGCCCCCAGAGACAGGGTCTCACTCTGTCACCCAGGCTGGAGTGAAGTGACACATCCATCATAGCTCACTGCAGGTTTGAACTCCTGGGATCAAGTGCTCCTCCCAAAGTGTCAGGATTACAGGCTTGAGCCACTGTGCCCAGTACAATTTGAAAAAGTTTGACAAAGACACATATCCGCAAACCCACCACCACAATCAAGACACATATAGCCTTTCCAACAGCCCCGAAGATTCCCCTTGCATCTTATTGGCTTTGCTTGTCACGCACGGAGATCTGTCCCCTGAGCCCTCAGGACAGCTTCCTCACTCTTCCTGCGGTTTTGGAGACCCCAGTGTGTGTCTGAACCGCTAACCAGACATCTACTGAGGGGCACCTGGATCGCTTCCAACAATTTTGCAATCCTCCAATGACGCTGCAATCAATGACCTTGTACATTTCTTTCCTACATGTGCAGACACGTTTGTATGCTATATTAGGACATATTCCCAGGGGAACATCCCCTTTCTGACAGCCATCAAGCTCCCACCTAATGTCACTGCCTCCTTGCTGGTGCCCCTTGAGGTCTTCTCAAATCTTTCCCTCTTACCAACAAGCCTGCAGTGGACATGCCTGGACCAATGTTTTTCTACGTCTGTAAAAGTATGTATGTAGGAAAACTTCTAGAAGCAGAATTATTAATATCTCAGGGCCCGTTTCTTATGATGAAAACAGAATACAGACTGCTGGTCCCAAGCTGACAGCTTCAGAGACTTAAATAACATCCACCCCAGACAGCTCAAGCCATTAGCACTGGGCAAGTCACAGGAATGGCTCCTGTGGGCACCCTCAACCACACTTCAGCTGCTACACAGCAGAGACTGAGTCCTTTGGCTCCAGTTGCCTGCCTGGGAAATTGAAGCTTGACAAAATGTATTAATAACTGCAGGCTGGAGGCAGTTGCTCACGCCTGTACCCTGTAGTCCCAGCACTTTGGGAGGCTGAGGCAGGAGGATCGCTTGAGGCCAGGAGTTCAAGGCTGCAGTGAGCTATGATGGTGCCACTGCACTCCAGCCTGGGCGACAGAGTGAGACTCTGTCTCTAACAAAAACAAACTAATAGCCGGGTGCGGTGGCTCACACCTGTAACCCTAGCTCTCTGGGAGGCTAAGGCAGGCGGATTGTTTGAGCTCAGGAGTTCGAAACCAGCCTGAGCAAGAGCGAGACCCCGTCTCTACTAAAATTAGAAAGAAATTAATTGGACAACTAAAAATATACACACAAAAAATTTAGCCGGGCATGGTGGTGCATGCCTGTAGTTCCAGCTACTTGGGAGGCTGAGGCAGAAGGATTGCTTGAGCCCAGGAGTTGGAGGTTGCTGTGAGCTAGGATGATGCCACGGCACTCTAGCCCGGGCAACACAGTGAGACTCTGTCTAAAAAAAAAAAAAAAAACAAAAAAACAAACAAATAAAAAATGTAACCAAGGGCCAGGCGCGGTGGCTCACGCCTATAATCCTAGCTCTCTGGGAGACCGAGGCGAGCAGATTGTTTGAGCTCAGGAGTTCAAGACCAGCCTGAGCAAGACCGAGACTCCGTCTCTACCAAAAATAGAAAGAAATTAATTGGACAGCTAAAAATATATAGAAAAAATTATCCGGGCATGGTGGCGTGTGCCTGTAGTCCCAGCTACCCGGGAGGCTGAGGCAGGAGGATCACTTGAGCCCAGGGTTGCTGTGAGCTAGGTTGACGCCATGGCACTCTAGCCTGGGCAACAAAGTGAGACTCTGTCTCAAAAAAAAAAAAAAAAAAAATGTAACCAAGGTTACTTCTGGGGAGAGGGACTTAGTGGAAGTGGCATCTTCCAGTTGCTACTTTGTAGATATTGAAACTGTTGCATTTGTTACAAGGTGCATGTGTTACTGTTATACTTTAAGCAAAGAGATCTCATGGAAACGCCAGCCCTGATTTTGTTCCAGCTGACAGTTCCCATCACTTCTGATCCTGACCCAGGAGGCAGGGACCAAAATCATCCTCGTTTCTCAAAGGACATTACTGAAACTCGGACCGTTTGGGTTTGGTTTTTTTGCTTTGTTTTGCTTTTGGTGCGATATTTATCTTAGATGGGACAGATTCAGTGATGTTCCCAGGATCATGCCTAGGAAGTGGTAGGCCTTCAATCTTAACCACAACTGTCTAGGGAGCTCAGGGCCACCCTCCCTCTTCCCACTGACTCAGAGGCTCCGGGCAGACAGGGGTCTGAATCAGAGATCACCTTAGCCCAGCGTCCCTGTTCCCAGGGGCCAGAGCACAGAAAGAAGAAGTGATACATTCATTGTCACACAGGGAATAAGTGTCATGGATGGGGACTGTAACCCAAGCCAGCTCCTCCACACCATCCAAGAACTTCTACCAAGCACCAAGGACCAGCTACTTGGGAGGCTGAGGCAGGAGGATCACCGGAGCCCAGGAGTTTGAGGCTACAGTGAGCTACGATCAAGCTGCTGCACTCCAGCCCGGGTGGCAGAGTGAGTGAGATCCCCAAAAAAGAACATGATGCAAGTTCAAGGTGACATTGCATCGCAATGTCCCAGAAAAAAAGGTGTTATTTGTCTTGTCAATTTGCCTGGAAGAAGACAAATCCTGAATGCCACTTTAGACCATGTATTATTATAATCTAAAAATAAATTCCAGATGAATCAAATATTTCCATAGAGAAATAAATCACAGGAAAAGGTAAAAATGAACATCCACACAAAGACCTAAGGAGGGGAGGCAAGATTTCCTCTCTGGGTCTAAGAAGTAAACTGACACAAGACAGATTAACAGGAAAGATTTATTTAATGGGATACATTAGCCCTCAAAAGAAATTGAAGACCCAAAGATGCAGTTAGAGGCAAACACTTCGGGACTGAATTGGACAAAGAGTAGTAAATTATGAAAATGAGACATTACAAAAGGGCAGTTAATAGTGGAAAAATAATTAGGAAGACAAAAGTTAGTTTAACAAGGTTTGTTTGTACAGATGTTTCTCTGCTTTGACTCCTTGTCTTCTGATAAAAAGAATATTACTTTCCATCTGGTATAGAGAGAACATCTTCCATGTCTTGTTTTAGGGCAGAAAAGAGGGAGGTCAGAGTGTCCTCCTTGTACCTGCTGTATTTCAAGTGCCTTTGGCTCAAAATAATCTGTATGCCAAAGTGGCATATCTTGGAGTGGCATCTTCTGCCACCCTTCACCTGAAAGCCTGTGATGGCTCATAGCAGCTCTATTCATAATTGCGAAAAGATAAACAAAGTGTGATACATCCTATACCTCAATAATAAAAGTGGGCCAGGCGCGATGGTTCACGCCTGTAATCCTGGCACTCTGGGAGGCCAAGGTGGGAGGATTGCTTGAGCTCAGGAGTTCCAGACCAGCCTAAGCAAGAGTGAGACCCCGTCTCTACTAAAAATAGAAAGAAATTAGCTGGACAACTAAAAATATATAGAAAAAATTAGCCGGGCATGGTGGCCCATGCCTGTAGTCCCAGCTACTCAGGAGGCTGAGGCAGAAGGATCGCTTGAGCTCAGGAGTTTGAAGTTGTTGTGAGCTAGGCTGACACCATGGCACTTTAGCCCAGGCAACAGAGTGAGACTCTTTCTCAAAAAAAAAAAAAATAATAATAATAATAATAATAATAAAAGTGAACAAGCCAGGCACGGTCACTCACACCTGTAATCCTAGCACTCTGGGTGGCCGAGGTGGGAGGATCGCTTGAGGTTGCAAATTCGAGACCAGCCTGAGCAAGAGCAAGACCCCATCTCTACTGAAAACAGAAAACTTAGCCAGGTGTGTTGGCATGCAGCTGTAGTCCCAGCTACTTGGGAGGCTGAGGCAGGAAGATCGCTTGAGCCCAGGAGTTTG